CTTGTTGCTGAGTTGCCCAGGCAGGGCTCCAACTTTCGATCTCCCTGACTCAGCCTCCTACAGTTCTGGGATTACAGGCCTGCACCTCTTTAAGTACACAGCTTTTTTACAGGAAAAAAAAAAAAAAAAAACTTGTATATTCATGCAGTTCACTGTGGGATAGCCTCCAAAACATGCAGCGACCACGAGTTGAATAGAAAGAAAAGAGTAAACCTTGAAGCTGCCTTTAGCACGGTTAGAGGGAACACGGGAAAATAGACAACAAAGGTGTGCAAGAGAGAGGATGGGAATCCATGTATGAGCGGAAGGATGGTCTCGGACCGGGTAACTTCTATGTTTCTGGTGTTCAGAAAGTTGAAATGTTTAGGTTTTCATATGTTTGAAGTTTATACTGTAAGGTGGCGGTCCAGAAATGGGTCCACATTAGAAGAACTTTAATGCTGGTGGGTTGCACAAAAATTGAGAATTGTTTCTTTGCTTGCGGTCACTGAAATCCTTATTTGAGTATCATTTAATGCAAACCTGTCTCCCCTAAAAATGTGACTCCTAAAGAAAATACTGTGAGGGCTTCTTTTAAAAATTCTGCATCTGCAAGGATTATTTTTCCTTTTTGTGTGTGTGTGGTGCTGGGGATTGACCCCTGGCTATCACGCGTGCTGGGCAGGGGCTTTGCCTCTGAGCCCCAGCCCAGTACATTCGCATTTAAGAGCTAGTTAGGTATTACCACTTGGATAAGCTATTTGGGATAAGCTGTTCTCCAGGTTAGTTCTCTGTTTCTGCAGAGACTGTAAACAAGGTTAAATAATTACAGGATGCCGGTGAGCTGAAGAATATTTCAGTTCCTTGTTTCCTGGTTCTGGAGAGCAGCATAGTTGGCTGGTTCAATTTATTTATGCATTTTTTTAATACTTGCCTAAAAAAAAAAAAAAAAAAAAAAAACAGGTGGAAACAGAACTTTATTTTTTTCAAGATATGTGTTAATTTCTCAAGAGTACATTGTGTTGTCAGTGTGGCTTTGTGATCTTGGAGAAGTGTTTTCATCCCTGGGGAATTACACAACACAGGGTGAGCCCATGGGCAAGACACAAAGGGCCTCTTAAGGCTGAATTTAGTCTTAGGGTCTGAAGTGCCTCACCTGCTCCCAGTAGTGACAACTACGCCAGCCACAATTCCAGGTTTATCTCAGAGAGAGCTGGTGAAGAACATTGAGCATGAGCTTCTGGTAGAACTTCTCTGTGTGTATTTGCAAACCATCTCTTGCTGTGTGTGTTGTAAATCACACCATAATTAGGTTTAAGAGCTGACATTAAAACAGAGACCTATGTTTTCTTATCATGCCCCGGTGGACCACTTACGTTGTCCCTGCAGGGATGGCCCTTCCTTCATGGACTCCACACTAGGTGCTGGACACGTGAAGATGAGCATCCTGCCTCTGATGTGGTCTCCAGGGAGTTGGAGTTGACAGACTGGGAGAGCAGATTGGACAGAAGCACAAAGAAAAGAAAGCAGAGACCATTTAGAAGACTCCTGGTGGTTTGGTATTGTTGAATGGTCAAGCATAAGGAAGCCGGGGTTGGAGAGAGGGGTAGGACCTTGTGTGCGATCCTGTAGTCTGGAACTGCAGACAGATTTTCAGCAGGTGTGATGCACTCTGGTGTGTTAGATTGCTGTAGAGATAGTGGTTGGTGGGAATGCTGCCGAGCCGGAGACTAGTGCTTCTGAGAGATGATGCCACCTGAAGTAAGTTCTGTGGCATTGGGAAGGGGCTGAGTGGTAGGTGTGTTATTTTTCTTCTGTTTTCCTTTGTTTTAGGTAGAATTGTCAGATTCCCAAGGATTGAACGGATTTGGGGCAAGGGAGAAGCATCTGTGAATATTTTGAAGAGTTGACCCTCACTAAGGAAACTGAGCGAAAGGTTTATTTTGGGGGGAGAAAGATCTCATTCTAGTATATTAAAAAAAGTGGCCAAAGGGCTAGGAAAATTCTTGACAGGTTTATTTCCTTAAGGGATACTCGGGGAAATTTGATTTTCTTTTACTCATTCTGACAGTCTGAGCTTTCAGTATGCTTCTGATTTGAGCGGACATTGCTTGAATTAAGAAATTTGCATGTGGAAAAAAAGCTGTTACTCACGGAGTTCAAATTCTTAAAATCCAATGCTTATTTGCAGCAGTCCTTCTCAAACTGCCGTGACACCTGAGTCACTTGGAGGACCCCATAAAACAAAACTGTGCAAAGCTATGGACAGAACTAATTTGTAGGTCTGGGGAACCTGAGAATTAACATTTCTAAAAGGTCCTGAATGATGGTGCTGGCTCAGGGACCCCACTTAAGGACGATTGTTCTTTCGCCCTCCCATGGCTTCCTACTTGAGTGATTCACTGGCGAGGAAGCAGGCACCACCCCGCTTCGGTACACTGAACTTTGGAGCCACACTTTCTTTTAGGTTTAAATTTGAAGTAAACTAACTTGTAGGTTTGTTGTAGGTGCTCCGTACGTGTTTATGGAAGGAACAGCAGTATAAGTGGCAGTGCCTCGGCGTTCGGTTTAAAAAGCACAGTTGATAAACCGAAACTGTCTTCTAAGTCAGCTCTTTGATCTGCTTTGCTTGGTTGATTTTTCTCTTCATTTGAAGGGCTACTTTCATGGCTTGCCTGTGGTGGAAGAACTTTAAAAAAAAAACTTGACGTTTTACAGATTGGTAGGTTCAGTGAATACTCCTGTTTTTCAGGCCCAAGGACTCACTTCAAACCTTGCCTTTTTTGTTCAGGGTGGTGCCTTGGAGAGATGAGTCAGACTGAGGGAAGAGAGCCCTTCCCTATTCCTGTACCTTTGGGTACAGAAACAGGCACGCACGGCACTGCCGAGTTGGGAGCCTGTAATGAGTAAGAGTGACTGGAGCTGATGGTATTCCGCCAGTCACGTGCACAGAGGGAAACTGCCCAAGGAAGGGAAGGGACAGGGCCGGGGCAAAGCTGTGAGAGCCAGGGCCGAGATGAGGCTTGACCTGGTTTTTAGCTTGTACTTCTTGGATCTCTGAAGTTAGGCCACCTTGATTGTGGAAGTTAACTTTAAAGATTTAAGAGTGTAATCAGTATATCAGAAGTTAGGGCTGGAGATATAGCTTAGCGGCACAAGCATGTGCTTGGGAAGCGCGAGGTCCTGAGTTCGATCCCCGACGACCCCCCCCCAAAAAAAAGGTGTCTAGAAGTTAAAAAATAGATAATTAAGGTGAATATGATTGTGACTAGGTCAATCCCAGGAGAGGTGTTAAAGTTCTTAACGATTTAATAAAATAGCTACATTCTCTTTATACCTTTCATCCCTAGGTAGCGCTAGGGTTAGATGACAGCAAGGGTGGCTCAAATTAATACTGAATCGTCAGTTTTTAACTGGAAGACAAATTAGACCACCTAGTACATTTTCAAGGAAAATTGCCCATTCCTGAAGATGGGCTTCCAGTAGATACCCATCGTGTTTTGGGAGGGAGCTTTCTATCTTGCCTAGTGCTGGAGTGAGAGTAACACACGGTCCGCTAGCTCAGGGCTGGCGGGGTGGCTTTTGAACCTGAAAGTAGTGATATATGCACTTTTAAAAGCAAAGATTGAAAAAGAAAAAATAGACGAATAGTGTTGACAGAAATGCCTGGCTAAAGTTTCGGGTGAAGCTACTGGTGTTTACTAAGTGACCTTTGCTTAATACCCGGGATGTTCTCATTTGGGACAATTTCATAATTTTGACCCCAGAGTTTTTCCATTGTTGTATTTAGCAGTTTTCTGAGAAGAGAACAAGGTAGCTTTATGGTCCGTAACCCACCGTGCTTTCTGCAGTCCTCAGGGCTGTGACTTCTTGGCGGACACAGTTCACTTAGATTCTTGTGTGTTGACCTCATTATCATAGGAGAGATGGGATTTGATACTTCAGGTGACTGGGGCCTTAGCTGGATTCAGAGGCATCCAAGTCTGAGTGGTTTTTGAAGCTATGACTTCATTTCTTGCGGGCAGTGTGACAGTGGTGCTCCAGAACTGGCATGTCCTCTGAGCTCATTCAGTGCGGGGTAAGTGGGTGACAGCCTTGCAGCTGCTCAGCCGTTTGGTCCAGCCTGAGTCCCCGTACTTGCACTTCGGGGATGTATCATTAAGGCTTTTGTTTTTTCCTGTGGTTTCAGGTTGAGAGTGTTCAGATATTTTATTATGTCAGGAAGAAAAAACATCAGAAGCAAGGTACGTGGTAGCACCTTGTACTACCTAATACAGGGTGTCTTAGAGTTCTTAAGTTCAAGAAACCAACTTAGTAAATGCAGTGAGCTCTCACTTGAAGTTGTGAAAAAATAAACAAAACCCCCTTTTAAAATACTCCACAGAGATAGCTGTGGGAACAAAGTCAAGTCCTTGATGACTCACCCTGCATATTCAAATAAGGAACATGCTGAGATTATAGCTTAATATTTCTTGTGAATATTGCAGATTGGGCACTCCACTCCAACTTTCTAATTTGTTTGTTTTTGTTTTTTCTTCCTGTACCAAGAATCGAAGTCACGACCTTGCACTTGCCAGGCAGGTGCTGTGCCGCTGAGCTTAAATCCCCAGCCCCTCTAATTTGACTTGCACCAATATTCAAACTTCGTCTCCCTTTCCTTACAGGTGTCTTCCCTACTGCAGCTGAGCTCAGCTTCCCGTAGCTAACCCGCAGCTCAGATTTCTCCTTGGCAGATAGTCAAGTGCTATTAGTTTCTGTGAGCTACCTAATTAGTGGTATTCTTTTGTTTGTCCTCTCTTTGTGGATAAGAATCGCAGATGGGCAGTACCCTTGGGGATTCAGGTGGGCTGGGTGCAGCCTGATGGTGCTTCTGTTCCAACTTTAACTTCCCTTTCTAAATTAAATGCTTTCGACTTCTGGAACGTTCGAACAGTTAGTTGGCAAGTGCTGTAGATTTTTCTCAGCATGATCAATTAATGGTGGCCTGCTGTGTTGGGTACATACAAGTTGAAGCTCATTTGTTGGTCATTTTAAGTATTTTAATGCAGTTTATTTTTTAGTAGGTACGTGGGAAGATCTTTCGGCAGCTTGGCGTGGAAGCGATTGATCACCTTGCTCTCATTTCTGCCTGGTCTGTGCTGGCGAGGGAGAGTGCCCAAATGAGCAAGATAGTGCAGCCAAGCAGCGCTCCGGGAGTGAACGGGATCAGCGTTATTCACACTCAGGCGCACGCCAGCGGCTTGCAGCAGGTTCCTCAGCTGGTGCCCGCCGGCCCTGGAGGAGGAGGCAAAGCCGCGCCTCCAAGCAAGCAAAGCAAGAAGAGTTCACCCATGGATCGAAACAGTGACGAGTATCGCCAGCGCAGAGAGAGGAACAACATGGCTGTGAAAAAGAGCCGATTGAAAAGCAAGCAGAAAGCACAAGACACGCTGCAAAGAGTGAACCAGCTCAAAGAAGAGAACGAACGCTTGGAAGCGAAAATTAAATTGCTGACAAAGGAATTAAGTGTACTGAAAGATTTGTTTCTTGAACACGCACACAACCTTGCAGACAACGTGCAGCCCATTAGCACTGAAAATACGACAACAAATTCCGATACTGCGGGACAGTAGGCCTCCTCCTTTCCAGACTTCGCAACTGTGGCTTGAGCATGAAAGGTGTGACCACCGACGCCACTCACGTTCATGGCTGAGTGTTGTCTTTTCCATTATTCAGAGCCATTGGAGGTTATTTTCTAGGGTCAGCACTGAAGCGTTGATTAGCCTTGCCGTTTAAATATCTGGCTTTACATGATGTGAATTTTTGTGGGAATTGAAAAACAAAAATTTTTAAAGTATATGGTAAAACCTTAGTGTTCTTAATAAATCCTGACTTCCCAAGAAATATTTCTTTTTTAAATTGACAAGAGGAACGGGAAACTGGCAGGTCATACAGAAGGTTCTCAGTTTTAATAGATACAAGTAATTGGATTAGGAGCAGTTGAATTCCATCTGTGTTAATCTAAATTATCCTAGGGCTGTAGAAACCAATCATTTTGTAATTTGGAGCGATTTTTGATGTCATTAAATAAGAAAACTATATCATAAAGGTAATATGCAGTTAAATGGCTTAAAAATATAAATAACAAAAAGTAAAGCATATTAGAGTTATGATTTAGGGATACCTTTGGGTTATTCAATTGGTATTATTTCATGTCCTAAAAAAAAACAAACCCATTTGTGTACCAGAATTTTAGTTTCTGCAGGTGCTGGTAAACTAAGTTGGTTTTTTTCATGCCATTTTGATAGACAAGTTAGTAAATAAAATGTCTTAACAATTTGACACCGTAAGCTACTGATTGGGATTTGGAATATTAATTCAGCTGGTAGTTTCTTCTGTGTTCAAAATAACTGCTATAGGGCCACCAGTTTTAAAAGGCAGAAATTTATTGTGAAAAAAAAGTTTATTGTGAAGTAACATTTTGGTATTTAATCTTAACCAAATAAATTATTAGAAAAATATAGCAACTCCATGCCATCTCCCAAAACAGTAGTCTAAGAAAACTTGAAAATACAAGGTTTTAACCTTTAATTTATTTTGCTTAAATACATCTGTTTATATTTTTTTTTGTGTAATTCTTTTAGTTAGTGGGCTGTTCTTCCAGACTTTATATACCACTGCTTCTGTTGCTTCATTGTATGCTTTTATGTCCAATAATTATTTTGGAAAGAAAATGCTGGTAAAACTCAGGACATTGACATTTTTATGGAGACAAAAAATGGCAATCACTAATGTCAGGCACCTCTAGAGTCTGTGTTATATCAGTGTTGGTAGTTTAGATCGTATTTGTTAACTTTGTCTTTTAGCATGATTCTAGCTTAAGTTGGTTGGCGTCTGTGTATTGTTTCGTCCCTGGGATGGTGACTAGACAGACCTGCTAAAGGTCTGTGTTACTAGGTTTCTTATTTGAATATGGTCATTTCGGGCCACACTGCTGTTTCCTACTAGGACTTGGGATAATGTAACCAGACTGTAACTGAAGTTGCACCCTGGGTTTGGTGGAAGTGTGCTGACTTTGCTGTTCTCCTGGGCAGAAGACGACATTGTGCCCTGCAACTCAGCAAAGACTTTTAGGGCTACAAGTTCCTTGCAAATGTGAGGTTGGAGCCAAGTGTTGTTCCATGAAATGCTTCTCTGGAGGGCTGTTAACTCCCCATGCAACCGAGAAATGGTCGTTTTTTTTCTTTTTTAAAGTTAGGCTCCAACAGCAGTTTACTTCGATTGGAGTATCGACCTACTCGCAGAGGTTGGTACATGTTCAGATAACTAGGGCTTACCACCAGAGTCCTACAGCTGATTGGGTAATATAGTAGTTAGGCCACTTGAATCTTTAAACACTCTTAATAGGTGTTACATTTCAATCCCTCATTTAAAAAAAAATCAAAAATAGATGTCCACATGGAATTTGTGGTTACCAGTGATATGAAAAAAAGCTGTAGGGAAATCATCAGGAGTGTGTACTTAGTATTTGAAGTCAGAACATAAGATTTGGAGTTGGAGAAAAATTGATTCAAGCTTTCCTGTTGCCTGTGCAATAGGTAATTGAACACAAAGAACTGAATACTAGCAATCATGCATAGAATAAAAATGTTAACCACTGTCTTGACTATTTTACTCAAGTGGTTGAAAATGGTAGTCTTTAGTTTGGTAGATTTATCAGTGCAAAATGCAGAGAAATGGAGTGGCGGGAGTAAGTTTAGAGCTGTGGGAATTGCAAAGCGACTGTTGAAACATTTGTTGGGAGTTTGTAACTTACGAACCATTCAGATTGATCTGCTTTGCATGCAGGTCCAGTGGTTTAGGGCTGAGGCTGGAGGATACGTTGCTGGCTGCGTCTGCGATGGTGCCTTTTGACTGGTTCAGTTGCAGATGGCGAGAGCAGAGCAGCTCTTCCCGTCTGACCCCTTTCATCCGCTGGGATGCCAGTTGAGATGCTTTGGACATTCTTACTCAGAACTAGTACTAAAATATTGACCAGGTTTTTAAAATTCAGGTCACGAGTGTAAAGTTCTCAAATTCATGTAAAAAGTAGAAGTATGTACAATGTGATATTAAAGGAAAGGACATTGTAGCAGCTTTTGATGTTTCTTAATCCCCATTAGAGGGCTGAAACTTTGTACCTGAACAACCCATTTAGCACTCAGTGCTTTTTGATGCCTTAGAAATAGGAAAAGTAATTTTTGTTTGACAAAAGGTAAGAAAGAAAAAGTCCTTTCTACAGCTAATTAGATCTGCCTCTCAGGAAAAAGTACTAACTTGTTCTTTTTGTTCCTGGCTTTCAGTTTGTGAGATTACTCTATTTTTTTAATATAATTTTATTTCTTTCAAGAAATTCTAAAATAAAAACTTTTGGAACAATGACTGTATTTCGTTGTGGGTTCTTTACATTAGATTCCAAAAGCAGTCCAAGGTAAACAGCTCCGAAGAGCTTGCAGAAGCCTGGCTGTCTTTCCCGTGGCCTGGGGTGAGGGTGGGGTGAAGGGTGGAGGTGCTTCTGTCGAAGTCTGGATTTCCCTTAGTGGATGGGGAAGTGCATTTTTAGTTGTACTTTTTAGTACCTGGTCTAAAATGTATAGTAGAATAGGGAAAGTGGCACGAGTTCAGCTTAATCACGTCATGTTTGAGTGTATGTGTACATCTACAGAGTGGAAACAAATTCTTGAGTTTTGAGGTAGATGGCCTTTCCCTTAATACGGTTTTATAGTGTGTGTGCCGTTTTCGGTTACACATTGCATCCCGTGGGGGTGGGCTGTAGAAATGAATTTGCTGATCTCATAAATATTCTGAGTACAAGAAGCTGATTTGAATTGTTTCAAGTCAGGAAAGGAAAAGGAAAGGTGGCATTAAGATACTTCAGTGAACCTTCAGTTCTTTCGTGTCTTGGGAGATAGATTTCTACTTGCTGCATTCTCATGAAAACTGCACAGTAATTCCCATGGATAGTATGTCCTGCTTCCTTTTTATGAATTAGTTGTAGTTGGAATCCAGTGACTTGTCTTGGGAGGTTTTAGAGATTATTCTCCGTGGAAGTGCCGGGGCTTTTTTTAATAAAAGCACCTGGAGACCAACTTTGACTGCCTATATGCATCTGAAGAGTATGTAAGTGGCATATTATGGCATGTGTGCCATAGTGGGCTGTTACTGAAGCTCACCATCTCCGCCCTAGATACCCTTTTCCTGTAGCCCAAACTCCAGCCATTACCTTTGAAGCATCTCCTTTCTGCATCACCTACTTTCTGTTCTACCTCCGAATGGTCTCTGGAGCCTGTCTCCCTCGCCTCCCCTAACCGTGCCCTGTGCAGAGCCATCCTCTCTTCCCTGGGCTTGCTGATGGGCTCCTCATTGGTCTCCTGGACAACAGTCACCACATGTTCTCCAGAACCATTCCATGGCCTCCACGGTGACCAGGATGAGACCCAATCTGGTGATACGGCTCCATTTCATCTGGCCCCAAACCATTTTCCTTCCTTTCTCCCTCTGACCCTTTGCAGTTCTTGTTTTTTTTTTTTTTTTTGGTTTTTCTCCGGTACCGGGAACCGAACTCACGGCCTTGCGCTTGCCAGGCAGGCGCTTTGCCGCTGAGCTAAATCCCCAGCCCCCCTTTGCAGTTCTTGAGGTTCAGAATGCAACATCTCCTTTTCCTTTTCACTTCACACCCTTGCTATCTCTGCCCCCTGGCCTGTACAAGGGCAATCCTTTACATGTTTTCATAGCACTTTTCATCAAGACAACACAGTTATGCATGTTTGTGTCCTCATATTGTACTGGCACAATAGATTCTTCATTTATTGAGTGAAACCCTTGCGGAGTTTGGGGAAGGCTTTAGCACTGTATAGGCTTCTGGAAGGATCCCTAGTGTGTTTTTGAAGCTCTACAAATTTCTAACAGGCTGGAGGCAGTTGGATACAGCTCTGGTGAACAGAGTGGCTACTGCTGGCCACCCACATCCTCTGCCATCAAAGGGTGCCTAGAGAGCTGGACTGACCTCTGTGTTCCCAGTGTCCATCCTGGACAGGGAGTTTAGTTACTGCGGTTCCTGCTTGTTTTTCACCCACTTGCTTGATGATCATAGAAACGTCTATGTGAGATGGGCAGGCAGTTTCAGTATGGAAAGTTGGAGGGTTGGGAGGAGGAAAACGTGATTCATTCATGTGCATTTCTTACCAAAGCTTGGTTTCACCTGGAGGTGGGGGGAATTGAAATCCTGTACACCTGAGTGTGTCTGAAATGCTTGGAAAACTCTACAACTCATCCGATGCACAGAAGACCCAACTGTTTCTAAAACTGCTCAGTGTCACCAGTGGGTAACAGAGACTACGTCTGTGCAACAGCGGAAATCCTAAAGGATTGGTGTTGGAAATTTTTTTTTTTGGTACTGAGAATCGAACTCAGGACCTTCTGCTTGTGCCACTGAGCTATAGTCTCAGCTCCTGGTGTTGGAGATCTAAAAAGCAAGTAAGACAAATCATGGCTTGGAACTGAGATGGGCTGCTCCTTTTTTGGTGGTACTGAGGACCAAACCCAGAGCCTTGCGCATGCTAACTAAGCATGTGCTCTACCACCAAAGCTATACCCTAAGCTCTGGCTTTTATCCCTTGGTGGCTACGTCGTAAATACTTCTGTGTTACTGTCATGGGAAGAAATAAGTTACTATTGAATCCCTTGGTGACTTCTCAAAATGTCGCTAGCTTGGACTAGATTTCCGCTATGACATCCTTTCTTCTCAGCTGCCCTTCACCTTGGGTCAGAAATACTTGGCAGAGAGTATGAAGAACTCTGGTGTGCAGAGTTGTAGAAGCCAGCTCTGGGGAGGGTCCGTCCTGTTGGGCTGTGGGACCGCGGACAAGCTGAGGAAGGCCAGATTTGCTGTCAGAGTGAAATTCTGTCAGTGGGCATCAACTGGGGTATAATCCTGCCCCTTCAGAAGCCTAGCTTTGAGGCAGTAACAATGTTAGAAAAGGATCATCTTGCAGGGTTGGGTCAGCAGCTATTCCTCCAGTCAAATCTCTGGCATTGCTGTGCTGATGGGGTGAGTCTTGCACTGAGCTTTATCATCCTGTCACCTGAGAGTTGTTTGCAAACCTGTGCGTCCATCTGGAGCACCCAGGGGTGCTTGTTACACAGTTCTCTGTGTTCACAGTTTTCTGGAGATTCTGATTTGGAAGATCTGAGCCTGGGTTCCAGGAACCGTTTATCAAGTGCCCCAGTGGTTCTGAGGTCTGTGAGGCCTGGAACCCTTGCAGCAGATGACAAGGTGACACTGAAGCCCGGCAGAGTCCTCAGGACTCAACATAGGCTCCTAGGGGAGCACCCTGCTTTCATCCTGGCAGGGCCAGCAGCACCATCACCGTTTTTCTGAGGCCACACGAGCTGGGCCATCTTCTCAGGGCTGGTGGGTCCTAAGCCCTCACCTACAAAGGGATAAAACAGGAGCCACGCACAAAATGACTGCTTAAGAAAAGCTTTTATTGAAAATTACACTCTGCATATTACTGATTTTTGGGAGAAAATACTGAAAATGCATCTTTCCTACAGTCATATAAGTGGCAGCAAGGTACATTTTAGTTGCTACTGAAGAACAGGATTATGTTCAATCAGAGTTTTATTTTTTGTTGTTTTGTTTTTTTCCGGTACCGGGAATCGAACTCATGACCTTGCACTTGCCAGGCAGTTGCTGTGCCGCTGAGCTAAATCCCCAGCCCCCAGTCAGAGTTTTAAAGTCACTGTCATTTAAGTATAGTACAGAAGTGATTAAGGGTGTGATCTTACAGAAAGTTAATAGAAAAAGCATTTTTCCTTCTTAGGAAATGGTCCTATTTGGTATGATCAAATATTTGTTTTTTGTTTTGTTTTTTTTGGTTTTTCTCCGGTACCGGGAACCGAACTCACGACCTTACGCTTGCCAGGCAGGCGCTTTGCCACTGAGCTAAATCCCCAGCCCCTGGTATGATCAAATATTGATGCCAAGCTCCAGGTTCTGAGCACCGTTTCTCACCGTCGGAGGGCCAGTCGACATGGAGACAGGGTGCAAGGCCAGACCCTGGCTCTACTTTGGGCCAGAGAAGGATGTAAAGGCCTTGTCACTGCCTGCCATGCATGCCTCGATCTCCTCCACGGTACGGGGCACGCAGGTCAGCAGCTCCATGCCGGTGTCAGTCACCACAACGTCCTCCTCAATACGGACCTGGGTCAGATGGACAGATGCTCATCATGGCTGAGCTGCCCTTCTATGCCACATCAGTGGATCCCACCTGCTCCACCCTGCTCCCTGCTGCTTGGGTACAGCTTTCTGAGGAAATGACTGATACCCGCCATGACAGAAGCAATTGGTCTCAAAGCTTCTGTGGCTGACTGCCTAGCGCAGCGGTGGCAAACCTACGGCACACGTGCTGCAGCGGGTTGTTTGTATCACTGGCCTAGAGGAAAGTTCCTCACATGGCCCCTTGGTTGGTTGTGTCACCTGCTCACCCTGTCCTTGTAGGGTAGATGGGAGCGCCCTGAGTGGGCAGGGGTGAGGCGCCTGGCCAATGACCAACCACATGAAGGGGTAGGCCACTTCCAAGTGAGCAAGTCAAGATGGCCCCTGCTCCAGCAGGGCCTCTGTCCTGAGACAGAGGTGATGAGCAGAAGCAGTAGGGGTGGTAGACATTCTGGGAGCAAGAGTGTGGGGCCCGTGAAGACTCACCCCACCAAAGCCGCGAAAACGCTGCAGGACCTCGCGGTTAAAGAAGCAGGCTTGGGCCTGGTTAGCCAGGGCCTCGTCCAGGAGGTGGTCGATGAAGTAGATGCCTGGCTCCACGGTGAGCACCATGCCTGGCTGCAGCTGCCGTGCGGTGCGCAGGCTCCGCAGACCTGGCTCGTCAATGCGCTTCACGCCCTGTGGGGAGAGGGACGGTGGAGGACCCAAGCGACAGCCGCAGGGCTGGCTGCGAGGGGCCTACTCAGCGCCTCAGTGGAGGACGGCCAGGCACAAGAGTTGGCTCTAGCCTTGTGGGCTCTCTGACAGTGGGGTCTGCAGCCCAGACTCACCTCTACCGTGCCAGGCCACAGGCACTCCTCATAAGACCTCTGGATTCTGAGTGTCCCTGGCCTCTGGTTACCCTCCGAATTGCCTTCAGGAGTGCTCTGATGTGCACGCAGCCAGGGCACGCAGCCCAGGTGGCCCCACGGGGATGGCTGGGTGTCCAGCTGTCCTTACCTAGGCCCAGGCAATGGCAGAAGCCAATAAAACAGAACAAAACTCTTAAGGAGGTTATGAGGCTTTCTGGGGCAGCAATTTTCCTTCCAGGAGGCTCATGTGGAAACTGGCTCCAGAAGTGCTGGTTCTGTTCCCCCAGCCCAGCCCCAGGTTCTCCATGGGACCATCCGGGAAGAGGGACTGTGCTTTCCTCAGGATGGGCCTGCCAGCACCAGTACTGGCCTCTAAGTACCTGTGTGTGCCTGGCTTGGTGGTGTGGCTCTCACAGGAGCTCTCTGCACCCTCCAGCTGGGCCCTGGGAAACGGTCCCCGGCCTTTGAGGAAGCAACAGTGACAGCTTCTTTCCCTCCTCCCCAGTGCACGCCCTTCCTGGGGCGGGCTGCTCACCCAGGCACAGCTACCAGGGCCTCAGGCTGGGCCGAGGGCAGGTGGTACCCAGGACGCTTGCAGGAGGGTCCTTGCCTTCACCAGGCCCCATCTGGTCCACGGCCAGGGCCTCTGAGCAAGTGGGCAGAGAGCAGGCTTTCTGGTCAGGATCCGGGTTTGCCCTGCCCTGCTTGCAGCTCCCCCTAGGAAGCCCAGCTGCTGGAGATCAAGCTGTCATTTCTGACTGTTTGGGGGCCAACAACATCAGACTTCAATTAGTGGTTCACATAAGGTAACCAAAAACAGGCTGGCTCAGCCTCCAAGGCTGGGCACGGCAGGGAAGCCTGTGTCTGTGATTCCACAGGGCAGGGGCAGCCGCCCCGACCTGGTGTAAGCAGGCCAGGATGGAGGCAGTGAAGGCACCACGACCCCTGGTGGGTCATGCTCTGGGCGAGGATGTCTGGCGGCTGTGGCCCCAGCCCCACAGCCCTTGCTTTGGGCTGCAGAGCTGGAGTCTGGGCAGCAGGGCAGGGGATTCAGGAGGCAGGGTGCTCCGTAACCAGAGGTCCTGCCTGGAATGACAGCCTGGGCTCAGGTGAGGCGATCGTGGTGAGGAGCAGGGCCCGTCTCCTGTCTAGAGCCAGCTTGCTTGTGAGAACTCAGGGCCCTGGATCTCTTTTCTAGAAATTTTTTGCTCCTGCCCCCCAAAGCTTGTGCCTACCCCTTGGTACTCTCCTCCTGTCCTTCATGCTATACCCTGAGGTGCTGTCCCCTTCTCTGCACCCCATGGCTGTCAAAGCCAGGGGCTGGACAGGTCGTGTCTCTTTCCTCCCAGTTGCACTTGGTGTGGACTGCTTCACAGGTGTGCAGGAGAGGCAGGTTTGCTGAAGCTTGGAGAGTTGCTTCCCTCCATCCAAAAAAACCATGGGCCCACCATTCCAATTGGGGTTCGGGAGCATGGAAAGAAAGGATCCCAGGGCTCCAGAGGATATGCCAGTCTCAGCTAGCGGAGCACAGTTAGCCCTTCAGAATATTAACTCTCGGTGCTGCAGGCGTGGCCCGCCGAGAACAGGGCATAGGGGCAGGCGTGTCTGGGAGGCCAGCCCAGCAGCCAGAGCAGGCTGAGGATGAAGGCTAGGCTGAGTGGGGTACAGGCCGTGAAGAGAGCGCAAGTCTCCTGGCCTAGGTATGCCAGGCCTGCTGGGGATGCCCACACCATACCCAAGCCTGCCTCGGCCTGGGCAGAGGGCTGTCGAAGCCTCCACTTTTACTGGGCTCTGACAGAGGAGACCCAGATGTGTCCGTAGGCCTGAACTAAAACAAATGACTTATAGGAAAAGCCATATTTTTTCTACAGTGTTTATCTGTCAGAAGAATAGGCTCTGAGCACAAAGGGCTGCTTACTGGAAAAGATGAAAACAGTTTGCTGCCAATTTTCTTTGGTGGAAAAAAAGCGCTTTGGCGACTAATGAATAATGAACCTCAGTTAACAATGTCTGGAAGGCCCTGCTCTTGGCTCTCTGCACACAATGGGATGGACAGAAATTAGGAAATTAAAACTGATTTTGTTTCTGCAAATTTAACTGTTTACACTTGAGGGGGAAAAAAAAATAATTGAATAATAATGCTTCTCTTGAGCAACTTTTTCCCCAAAAAATCACTTAGTGCTTTCAAAATACCCTGCAGCCAAGAGGCCAAGCCTAGTCTTGGCTAACTGGCTGGTGGGCCCCAGGGTGTGCACCGATTGCATAATCAGCCCCCTGCATGGTGGGCGCTGGGCCAGGTGGCAGGGATGGCTCGCCCCTGCCACAGGGGCTCAGTGGGCTGCGTTCACCTGCCCAGTAGGAGCATCTTGTGAGCCCTCAAGCACCCTCTGGGTGGTCTTAAGAGCGGGAGCGGAAGGCTTGTCTGGAGATGCCCTCCTCTCCTGCCAGGGGTCCTAAGACTGGGATGTGAGCAGGCTGCAGGGCCACAGGTGTGCTGGGCCAGGGGACTGCGAGGCAGAGCGCGCACCAGCCAGAGAACAGTGGCACGGGGCCTGCTACCGGGCTCCGGTCGCTTGAGGTGAATCTGAAGCCACATGCAGCAGAACATGAAGGGTGCAGTGTAGTTCTGTCACCAAGACCCAGCATCAGCTTTACCACCTGGCGGAGACCACGTGCGCTGGAAGGGTGCCAGGTCCACCTCGAGCTTACCGCCCTTCTGGGCAGGGGCTACATCCAGCACTTGCTGCAGCTCAGGCATCCACCTCTACGCTGACCACGGCCCTTGCAGAGGGCAAGCCAGGACCCTGGTTCCTCCCTTCTCCCCCACGCATCCCAGGGAACCCCATCCCTCCTGTCTTGCTATGTCCCCTGCTTTCTCCTGGAGCCCCACTTTGCCCCAGGATGTGAGGCCCCGCGAGGGCCCATCTGCCAATGTCTCCACACTGACCTCAGGGTAGCCTCCCACGTCGTGCACATCAAGGCCCAGGAAGTGGCCGAGCCCATGAGGCATGAACACGGCTCCCATGTGGGCCTGGACCATGGCATCCACGCTGCCACTCAGAATGCCAATGCGGGTCAGTTCCTCCAAGTGGATGCGGTCAGCCAGGCGGTGCATGTCAGGCCACCAGACACCTATGGTTCAAAGGAAAGCTATGTCTCCAAGGAAGACTTAAAAGCAGGGCTTCTCCAGCGAGAGGTAGGGAGAGACAAAGCCCTCAAACAGGCTGAGGCAGGAGGGTCTCCAGTCAGGGTGACAGTGACACACTCTCAGGGGATAAAAGGTGGGGTGGCCCAGCGTCTTGCACTTTCTCAGTCAAAGCTCTTGACCTCCATACTCTCTGAGCCCCAGTGGCTTCTGCCACCCATGGCCAGGGATCCGGGGCAGCTCTACTCTCCAACCTATGCCGTGCCCACCCTGACCAGCATGTGCTTCTGGGGCCAGGGAAGCCCAACAAGATCCCTAGCCATCAGGAGAAAAGTGCATGTCTCCCCAGTGGCAGCTGCCAGGTGGCTTGGGCCCAAACGCTGTCTCAGAGCTTCAGGCCTGGGTTCCGTGCCTGTGGGGCAAGGGGGAAGCTCAAGGCTGGGGGAGGAGGCATCCCTGCATACCCCGCAACGGCTGAATCACCCTCGGCGCTGCTGTGGAAGCCAAGGTTTCTGGGGTGAAGGTGCAGCTGGCAGGGCCCCACACACTGCTGGGCAGGGGGTCTGTGGCCTTGCTGCTACAGCACAGGCACTGTCTCCACGGCAGCCCCAATATCCAAGCCCAGGCTGCTGATCGAACTCCTCTTTGCCCCCTGTTTCAGGGTCAAAGGTCACTGCACAGCCTTCCAAGTGCAGAGCTTCAGGGGCCACGCAGCCTCTGTGGGGGCGGGGGCAGAGGCCAGAGCCAGTCCTCAGCACCGCCTGGTTCCCCAGTTCCCGGGGAGCTACAAGAACATAGGACACCTGGAGAGAGCTACCCCAGGGAACCTCAGTCCTGCCTGTCCAGGGCTCTGGGGAACCCTCTTTAGCCTCCTCAAGGGAGCTCCAACCCCACCTCTGCACTCAGGCAAGGACCAGACAAGCACCGGGGGCTGGTGCAGCCTCGTGCTCTGAACTCATGAGGGCTGAGACTGGGCAGGCCGCGTGCTGGCTGAGGCCCATGGTGCCAAGACACACTAGGCCAGGCAGGCTGGGTGAGGGCCCGGGGCTCTGGCCAGGGAAAGCAATCTGAGAGCACGCCCCGTGGTGCCTCCTGGCAAGGTTTAGGCCCACGAAGTGGAACCACTTTGGCCTCCAAGGGCCTCTGCGCCATGTCCTGCCTGGGCTCAGAGCTGGACCTGCTGTCACACTGCCCCGTCCTTATCACTGCTGCAAGACTGGAGGGCCAGGGATCTGCACGGTGGGGGCCCCTGGTGGACCCTGAACTGGAGAGGGCTGGATGAGGCTAAGGCCTCTGAGCCTCCACGGCTGGTAGGAAGCGTGCAATGGGCTGGTGGGGTGAACCCATCAGACACTCTTGCGAGGCACCTGTCTCCCCAAGTTGGGGCTCCTTCCCTGCTAGAGATGGATACCCCACACCAGGGGCTGGGAGATGGCCAGAGGTACAGGGGCTTCAGCAGGTGGTGGGGCCTAACCCATAGTCCCAGGATACAGGGAGAAGAACATAGAGAAAGGAAAGACAAGACCCAGCTCTCACCCTGATTATCCACCCCAGCCCGCAAGGCTGTGTTCTGGGGACGGCAATCTAGCTACCAGCTAGGGCCTGGGGGCAGACCCAGCATGCACACTGTAGCTGGCTCAGCTTGCACCCCTGGTGGTGGACCTAGGGCAGGGGCTTTCTCTGATGGTGGGAGTTCCTCAAATGGAGACTCAGGAACTGTAGGCCCAGCCCAGCTGCCTGCCATATGGCCTGGGCAAGCTCCCCCTCATCTCTTAAGCCTCAGATGTCACAGTTGCAATGCTGGCCCCAAAGCTAGCTGCCGAGTTTCTGGTATCTGTAAGGGGCTGATCCATCACTTATGATCAACCAGAGCCTAGTTTCAACACTTTATGGTCACTATGCTTGGGGTTCTTGTTAGTTGAGCAAGCCAAGCCTTCCCTAAGACCCTAGGGGCCTAGCCTGGCTAATCCCACCCCCATATACCCCACCTCCACCTCACCCCCCTCCCTAGACCCTTCGGGGGCCAGGCCACGCTTCTGCTCCACAAGCTCGCTGAGTGCTTCCATGGGAGACCCCGTGCCGCCTCATCCTTGGGGGTCTCAGCATCAAAGGTCTTCCTGGAGACTTCGGCAGCTTCTCGCCCCACTGTCTCGATGGTAACGCGCTTCGCACCTCCCAGTCTGAAGCTGTCCCCTAGACAGATCTGCAGATTGCTTCTCCTGTCTCCCAGCCCGGTGCAGTGAGTCCCCTCAGCTCTGCTCTTGCTCAGAGGCTCAGGTCTTACAAGGCCCCAGGCATCTCTGCAAATCTGACTCCCACCAGTCAGCCCGGTGTACGGGCTGAGGGGCTCCCTGGGTGGTGGCGAACATCTCAGCCCCAGCTCGGCTCATCTTTCTCGGACGAGGGCCCTCTCTGGTCAGCAGTGGGGAGCCCCAGGAAATGCAGCCTGCTTTCCAATCAGCTAATTTCAAAAGTCATGCTGCAGCCAGGCATGGTGGTGTATGTGTGTAATCCAAACACTTGGGAAGCTGAGGCAGGAGGATCACCTCAAGTTTGAGGCCAGCCTGGGCTACATAGTGAAGTCAAGGCCAGCCTGAACTACTGTACATAATGAGACCCTGTCTCAAAAACAAACAAACAAACAAACAAACAAAACCCATAGTGGTGTTACAGACTTGGCCGGACTTCAGAGGAGGGTGGGAGTCAGGTATAAATCATGCTCTGAGGTGGCAGCCCAGCTCCCGCCCGGATGTGCGGCTCAGGCAGTCCCCATGGCGCCTGCAGTCTTCCTCGCCTGAGCACCCTCGGGAAAGGCCTTGCGCACAGCTCTCTTGGCCGTGAGTGGGGAGTTTCTGCCTGTGTGTGGTTAGGGTTGTGACAGTGATTAAAACCTCCAGCAACTTGGCCTCTGTGTCTGGCGAGCATGGTGGTTATGACACCCACAGCCAGGGCTGGGCCCCTGAAGCGTGTGAAGGTTACCGTCCTTGGGCTAGGCTGGGAGGTGGGCACCAACTGTGCCTTCGTCCCTGCCTGTGCCTGGCCTGTGGCAGGGAAGGCCCACCTGACTCCCAGGCTCCTCCCACCCTGGCTGACCATCGGCAGCTCAGAGCCCACAGGTATGAGCCGGGAGGCATCCTTGACCTGAGCCTGCCCATACCAGGGATGCTACCCCAGAGAGCACACTCAGAGCCTGGGCACAGGCTGCCTGGCACTTCCTGCCCGCTTCTGCCAGCACCAAGTCTTGCCCTCGCCTCCCTGAGCCATCTCTCAAACCTACTCTCCCCTGCCCAGTCTCCTCCCTTGACTGTACCCTCCATCCTGCTTGGCAGACTGGCCAAGGACAAAGCCCAGGTTCCTTGGCTGGTCTTCCTCTCTAGCCTCATCCCTCACCCACTCGTTGGCAGAACAGCCAGACCGAGGCCATGGTCCCGACACTCTGTGCTTTCTACCTGCTGTTCCTGGCTGGGACCACCCGTCCAAGCCCTCACTCCTCCTGTGCTAGGCCTCTTGCGGAGGCGCCTTCTCCAGGAAGCCCTCTCTGACTGCCCCTTTCTGCGCGGCCAGAACCTCTCCACCTGGCTCAGCACTCTGGTTCTGGCCACTGTGCCCTGGGAGGTGAGACAGCGCTCGGTAAATCTGAGGAGTGAGCAGGAGCCTCGGCCTCCCTCTTGACTCTCAGAGCGAGTGCCACCGTGGCCCAGGGTTCTGACGTGCCCAGCAGCCAGCTCCTCTATGCTCCTGGATCCCAGGGTGGGTGGGGCAATCTTGGGGCCAGTGCCAAGGCAGATGGTAGTCTGCCTCAGGGAGCTGCTGGACGTAGGGAAACTAGATCCCTGGGTGCCCAGGCCCCTTGATGTGTCTAGAGCAGCCCTGGGTTACTGGTCGGCCTTCTGTGTCCACCTGGTCCCCCTTAGGCAGCGCTCTCTCCCATGCCTGACCCCCCTGCGGGGCCTGGCCTGGCTTCTCAGAGCCTCAAAGGCAGCATCCATCACGGCCTCAAGGCTTCCAGCCCAGAGTGTGACAGCCCCAGGGGGCTCCCAGGCCTAAGCCAAGCCAGAAGGCCCAAAGTGCTGCATCCTCAGAGCCACTTCCAGACAAAGAGCTCACTTCATCCATGGACAATAGCCCTCAGGGGACAGATACTGTCCGAGCCAGGCTTTGGGGGTATAGGAGGAAAGGCTCAGGGCGTGGGTCTCAGAGCAGGCCCTGGGGGCAGCAGGGAGCTGCCAGGCAGGCCACGCTGGCGTGGGGGATGACAGCCTCCAGCCTAGCCCATATTGCATCCTGTGCTGCCAGGACCTTTGGGACCTGCTCACCTTGCGTAAGGGCAGGGAGCAGCGTCCATTCAAGCTGCAGGCTCCTCCGTGCTGTGGACGCCTAGCTGGGAGGTTTTTTCTCACATCCCAGCAGGGAACTTGCCCACCACCCTGCTATACGCAGGAGGCACAGACAGGGCCCCAAACAGCCCTTCCTGCCCCAGCCACCACCACTGGTTAGGTGACACAAGGTCCTCGTACCCGTCTGCCTGACCCCCTGTATTCCTTGCCATATCTAAGGACAGGCCCAAAAGGAAGTACAGCCAACTGGTCTCCTTCCTGCCTACCTAGGAGTGAGGCACAGCCAGGAAACACAGCCCCAACCACCCTAGGTCCACAGACGACATATATGTATATTGGGCAGGCTGGCGACAGCACCACCTCGAGCGTCCTGCCCCTACCTGGTCACCCTCTGGCTTTCTTATCCTCAGGCCCATTCTGGGGCGAGGTCACTTCCAGCCACTCACTGACTCTCCTCCAACCTCCTGCTGGTGGCACTAGCCCTGTAAGTAGCCAGGACTCAGCCCAGAGACGGAGCCGGGGTGCTGGCATTGCACGAAAGTACACAGAGCTATGCAGAGCAATAGGCATCCACATGGCGTGGGACGCGGACGCTTTTACACGGTGACAGAGCAGGGGGTCCAGGAGCAGGGCTCCCGGGAGAGCACAGGAGCCAGGGCAGGGGGTGAAAGGTAGCACCCAAGGCAGGACGGAAGGCGAGCTGGGAGGGCCAGGGAGACTGGGTACTGGCAAGTGGGAGGCGAGGTGGCACAGGCAATGAATGTGGGGACCTCCCTGGTGGTTACACAGTGGCTGGTAGGACTGGGAGCCTCCTTGACTAGGGCAGGGACAGCCTTGCAGCTGTGGCTCGCTCGGACATCTGGCTCAGGGAGCTCCTGCTGGGCTCAGCACATCCCTCCACAGCAGCACCTTGCGGCCTCCCTTCCTGAGGCTGGGGGCCCATCAGCGCCCCCTGGTGCCTTGGAGATGGGGAGGGCAGGCTGCACTGATGCCGGAACCATGTAGACCAGGATCCACTCAGCCAGAAGCCAGCGCCTGGCTATGGCCTCCCACGGACGGGATTCTCCCACTGTTCCCGCCTTCCTGTCGACTGCTGCCCACCAGTGTCTCCTGTCCGGGTGAGCTCCGCCCTCTTTCCTTCCCTGAGTCTGAGTGACAATGAGGAATGCTTCCCCTCTGGTCCCAGGATGTTTCTGGGCAGCTAGGGCCTGCATTCCTCAGCACCCCCAGGGCTGCATCCGCAAGGGTCCATGTGTGCGCTGATAGCTAATTTCTGCCTCTCCTCTGGGCATCACTGTGTGACCTCCCGCATGTTTTTATTTATTCTTCCCTGGAAGGTCACAGGAAGCAGTCAGGCAGTCTCAGTAGGGTGTTTGTCTTGGCCCAGGAATTGAACCCACAAACCGGGGGCATTTCTACTGGGACAGGCAGACGGCTGACCCGGCCACAGCCGCCTCGATGCTAAGAGGAGGCAATGATCTGCCTCCATTTGGAAGGCAGTTCTGTGGGCACAGGACTCCAACCCCCTCCCCCCAGGCTGGGGCTACACTGTGTGACCCAGATGGAGTCACATCCTGCCCTTAGGGACCTTCAGTGTGTCCCAATCTGGCAGTAGGGGGAGCACAGCGTGTACATGGGGTATAGCAGGGGCTCTGTTCCACCCCTCATACAAGGGCTCCTCAAGGCCCATCATGTCTGTGCTGGCTAGAAAAACCCAGAGGTGGGCAAGAGAGGGACTTGGGGGAGGTGTGGTCTGTAAGCCCAGCTCAGCTGAGCTTAGCCTGGAGTCTCCAGGGTCCCTGGCTGGGCCTGAGGCCGGTGGCTGCCCCACGAGTTGGCATGGCCAAGTAGGCCTCAGGATGGGTGATCAAGTGGGTGTGGACACTCAGCTCTGGACCTTTTTCAGCATGAAGTGGGTGGGGCCCCGAGGACTGGCCTGTGGGCATGGCTACTTTCTGGCTAGAACTAGGGTTGCCGAGTGGGACCAACTGTGCTGGCCAGGACACCAAGGTGCCATCCAGATCCTGCTCAGACCCTACCAGGCTTTCCCATAGCTAGCGACTGACCAATCCCAGTCAGCCTAGGGCGAGAGCTAAGCAGCTCCCAGGGCTGGAAGCCTGGAGCTCCACAGTGACACAGAGCCCAGGGAGAAGACGTCTTTCTAAACCTCCCCGCCTGCCTAACATCCCGCCAAACAGGAGCTCCATCCCCGTCCTGCATCCCGACGGCTGAACCTATGAGGCCTGGCTCCTCCTGCCCGGTCTCCAGTGTGGAGTGTGGCTGTCAGTCCTGTGTCCTGATGGCAGGCTTGGGTCCACTCCCATGCTGACCACTACTGTGCTTCTCAGCAGGAGGAGGCATCCCAGCGTCTCAGTGGAAGGTCTGTGCTTACGGACACTGGGAGAAGCCGCCACGCCCCATCGTCTCCAGCCAAACCCTCTGCCATTGGAAACACTGATGATCACTTAGGTGACCGATGGTGCCCAAAACCGAGCAAAAAAAGAAAGCTTACCTGTGGCATGAAGACAGGGAGAGACGCATTCCTTGCGTAACTACTCCTTGAACCCCGTAGTTTAAGAAGAACAAAAAAGGGGCACGGTGAGCATGCTCAACCCTCCATCCCGCTCGGACACCTTGTTTGCCGGCTTTACCAGCACATGCAAATCCAAGCTCCTACGCCTCCATTTTCTTACGCGCAGGGGCTGCGCTGCCCATGCCACCCTGCGTGAGTCACCTTCCTGCAACACCGTGTCCTGCCCATTGCGCTGTGCTGACACTCGGAGGTGCTGCTGCTTCCTAAACAGGCAATTTTGCCCCAGATGCTGCCCTCTTCTGCAGCCACTGCCCCAGGCAGGGATGCCATGCTGCCACCCCCTACCCCCACCAGCTCATCTTCTTTCAGGCTTTCCTTCTTTATCCTCCTTTTGAAGAACACCCGAGTTCCCATCCCTGGACTCACTGGTTTGTCTAGCTCTTGTCCTGCGGTCTCAGAGAGGATGTGGGCCACGGGTTCGGACCTGGCGGTGCCCCCAACGTACTCCCAAAGCTCCTTAGCCTCTGCTGGGGGCTCTTGGGCTGGGCTGGAGGCCAATCAAGAAAGGCCTGCTCGCAATGTGTTTCCTCTGAAAACAACCGATGCTGAGTCCCCTCCAGAGCAGCACTTGGCCCTGCGATCATGGCTGTAAGTCATCCCAAGCCCAGCTTTGGGGACACAGCGGACTGCTCATCCAAGTGCTGAGCCAGCAAGTTTAGGTCTGCAAGAGGCCACTTCCTGGGGCTATTACCGTTCTGGGGCTCAGAATCTCTTTCTTTTTTTTTTTTTTTTTAAATTAAGGCTTCACAGGGCCGGGGATATAGCAGCACAGTGGCTGCCTGACAAGCACAGGGTCCTGAGTTAAATTCCTGGTACAAAAAAAAAAAAAAAATCAAGGCTTCAAAGGCATACAAACCGGACCGTTTCAGTCCTTCATGTAGTAATTCCAAGGCAGACTTCAGACCTGTCACAGGCAGGGGCCCAGACAGCTCAGAAGCCTCCCCTCACCACCCCTGGGACACAGGACAGAGTCAGGTGCAGCCAGCTCTGCTGGGCCTTAAGGGCAGAGGCCAATGTCCAGAGACAGCCGAGCCCACCCTGGATAGGGCGAGGGGCCTGAGGGCTGGAGTGTGGCGTGCAGTGGAGTGCATTGTGTGCTGTCTCTTCTGCTGCAGCGACCTCCCTGTGCAACCCAGTGCTCTATGGCCTGAGCTCCCCCTACCCAGAGAAGCCTGGGGGCTGCTTTAGGGGCTGGCCTGTTTTTCTGGGAACCTGCATAGCAGGGGAGGGAGGTGGGGAGCCAGGGCTGGAGAGAGCAGGGGCTGGGTCTATGACTGGTGCCAACATCAGGTGCTCTCTGCCTCCGGATGGGGGTTCCAGGTAAAAGAAACCAGGAGCTGAGCACCACTGCGGCTGCAGATCCTACACCTCCATGCTGCTTCACTCAGCTCTGGCCCCACCCAGACCTCCTTGTCCCACCTCTGTGGATCTGTGACAGCACCAGTGACCTAACCTACCCAGAGACTGTTAAGTCACCTACAACCAAAGCTGCAGAAGCTGGTGCCTGAGTGGATGGCTGTGTCTAAGGAGATGCAGGCCGATAACCAGGTCAGATGGAGAAGGGCAGAGAAAGCTCATCCCCCGCCCCCCGAGGATGGAGCCTGACTGCAGCCACCTGTCCCCGGAGGTCCGAGCTTAGCAGGTAACTGGCACCTGGTGGCTAGGAATCAAAGACCTGCACAGTGGGCTGTTCTGAAGCCCTAGAAGGCTTGAAGCAAGAACATGATTAGGCCATATCCCCCAATTTTCTCCTCTAGGCAAAGGGGACAAGTCCAGGCTCCTCTGTTACTGCTAGTAAAGCATTTTCTAACTGTTCTGTGCAGAAAGAGCCACAGCAGCGCCGAGGTTTGATCTAGCAGGTCCTGGATGTCACCCCTGCCAGGGAATAGGAAGTTAGGGCTCATCAGAAAGGAGCATGGCCAGTGACAATTGAAAGAGGGGCAGCTCAAGGACCCAAGAGCCATGGAAAGAATGCCAGAAGGTCAGCCTTGCTAGGGGGATGCTGTTTCCCCGGCAGAGCACTGGACCCGCGGGACGTGACTGCCATGCAGTGGGACGCCAAGGGTAGGCTGGGGACTCTGTACACTGCTTGGAGATGTGGGGGGTGCCGTACCGAGGCTGGGGGCCCGGCAGGACATGTCAGCCAAGACTAGCTGCTATGAGAAAGAATGTGAAGCCCTGGTCTAAACTCAACACCACTGCGACAGAGACAGCGACCACTACAGAGCATGAACATGCGCCAGGAGCTTCCAGCGGTTTTACATGGCTCAGCTTGACCCAAGCACAGACACGGAAGCAGCCAATCAGGGAAGTGCTTTCTGTCCAAGGGCACAGAGCTGCTGAGCGGGGCTGGAACCCACGCCAGTGCCTAATCAGGTGACAGCGTCCCAAGCTAGCTAGGCTTGCCTGAAGTGGACTCTGTTTTGGGACAGGACACGGAACATGGTGACGTCCCCATAACCAGTATGGGTGGAGAGATGCACAGAAAGAGGTGCCCGGATGGGACCTGAGGTGACTTTGGGCTGAGCTCCCAGATTCTAGGCTCGCCGTTCCTGATTGGAAGGCATCCCTGTTTCCTAGGACTGACCCTGCAGACCGGACACCGCTGAAATCTTATTGGTCACGTATAGGGGGGCAGATGCAAATCACAGAATCTGGGACCCGCTTCCTGCAGGTGCCTGGTACACAGCTGTCCCTCCTTCCCCATGCCAGGAGGGTCCTCTTCAGCAGTCCCCCCTGCTCTTTCCCTCACCTGGCTTCATAGCGTTCATGACCGCACGGCAGCTCCGCAGTACTGCCTCGTAGATGGCTTTTTGGTCCTCGGTGAACTTGCCGTTGGCGGGAAAGGAGCAGGTGATGTCCGAGGCGAAGCAGTAATACTCACCACCCATGTCAAACAGGCTGCAGGAAGATGGGACGTGAGGTGGGTGAAGTGCTCATGGGTACCACTGCCCCCCTTACTTCTCCTGTCCAGGGTGCAAGGGCAGCTTGCCTTGGTCTGGATGCAGCAGGGTGCTGAGGCCACCTTATTTTGAGATGCAACTAGTGGGGCAGTTCTACTCTAATGTTCTAGAGACACCCAGGGCCATCCAGGGAGAACTCCGTCCCCAGAAGAAAGGCAGTCCAGGGCTCAGCCTGAGAGGACAGGGCTACCTCCATGGCCTGGCTTCAGCAGGTTCACTTGTGGGGACTCACTCGAAAAGTGGGAGGGACAGACATGTCGCCAGGCTCCTGTGTGCCACCTTGCCTCCATGTGAGCAAGCCAACAGCTCCCCAGGCCTGCCCTGCATTCAGGGTAGTTGAAGCAACGCTCATAGGAGGGAGGAAAGGAAGAAGGAGTGGCAGAGGCCTGGGATGGACACAAGACACCTGCGTAGAGGACAGCGGAGGCTGAGCTGCACCACCAGCTTCCTGCAGGCTCGGTCCGGGGTGGGGGTGGGGGTCTGCATGGAAACTTGGCAGGCGGCAGTACCTGTGACCCTGATCCAGCTCAGGTGACCTCCCGCCTGACACTCTCCCTGTCCCCCACTGGGGTGGGATGGACCTGTCCTGCTAGGTCCTGAGGGAAAGGCAGGGAGGAAGTGTCAGAGGATGGTGTCTGATCAGCAGTGCTTTCATGGGGCTTCAGCCAGATAAGAGTGCTGCCTGACCCCCGACCTTGTCCGCCTGGCACCCCCTGACCACCAGGTGCCTGAGCAGGGCACAGAGGATGTGGAACATGAAGAGGATGTGCAGTAGGGGACAAGAAGAGAGGCCCAAGAGTTGGAAGCCACAGGCCAGGGGAGGAGGGATGGTGGTGCGACCAACGTCAGGCCTGCTGAGTCAGGAGGATGACAATGGAGCCACTCCCACCCCCTCACCGGACATCCATGACAACAGGGCCTGGAAGGAGCAGGCCCAGCCCTTCTGCACAGGGCCTTGGGGCCCTCTCTGGTCTGGGGCACATAAGCATCCTGCCCTGCTCCTGAGACAGGACATGTGAAGGGCTGTGCGTCCAAGCCCGGCTCCCTGGAGCACACAGAAGGGCCCCTGTGGCATGAGGTCACGCAAGTGGGTAAGAGCAGGCCCGGATGAAGGAGAGAGGGTTCACAGCTGTCCCTTCTCAGCACCTCCGGAGCTGCTGACAACAGGCACAGCTGGGGCCACCAGCCTACCCTGCCCCTTCATGGAGTCATGGCCAAGTCACTGCTGCTGAGAAAACTGGATAAGGGACATCAGTCTCGCGCCTCGCACAGGTCTTCAGGGCCGGGTAACTGCAGTGGCAGGCGTAGGCAGAGGTGGGAGCTATCCCTTCGTGCAGGCTGAGCCCAGCTTCTGTCTGGTGTCTGGCTGCATCCTGGGTTTCCCCCAGAGGCCCATCTGCAGTCCCATAAATCCTGGCAAGTCAGAGCCCAGGTCCCTGCTGTGGCTCCCTTTACAAGAGCTTCTCACCCAAATCCAGCTCTACTGGTAACCACAAACATTCCAGAAGCCGCCTGTGTGCTGCCTTTGGGGCCCACACTGTATGGGACAGAGCAGGGGGTGGGACCTGCCCTGAACCCTGAGCAAGGGGCAAGGAGTCAGGCCACATGGCTTCTCAGGCAGCACCAACTACTGCACAGAAGCCAATTTTTTTAATTTTTTAAAAATTTTTTGTCTGTTTGAGATAGGGTCTCACTATGCAGTTCAGGTTGGCCTTGAGCTCACTTTGTAGCCCAGGCTGGCCTTGAACTTGCAACAATCCTCCTGCCTCAGCCTCCCAAGTGCTGGGATTACAGGCGTGCGTTACCACGCCCGGCAGAAGCAGATTTTTTAAAGGAAAAGCTTGAATGCTCACGATCCCTGGGCACTTTGCTGGAATCCAAAGTCCTCAGCTGGGCACTTTTTAATCTCTTGTCTTTTCTGATTGCAAAACACCATAAACAGTGTCAACAGTGCACAAAGCACAGGTAATACCTCAGGTGATTCTCAGGGGGTAGAGCAGAGTTCCTGCTAGCATGACAGTGAACTTGGGGTTGGGTCAAAGTCTCAGGAGGGACCCTGCCTGGAGCAGACCCAGGAGTGCATGGGCCTCACTTGAGAGTGACCCACTCTGGCCTAGTCACACAGGGCAGTTAAACAGACACCCTGAGACAGGCCGCAGATGCAATGGCTGTTGGGACCAACAGCTGCCTGTAGGTTTACTCTTCTATGGGGCACCATGCAGCCCTCAAATGAACAGAAACCAACGCTCTGAACCCTGGTCCGGCAAAGCCTGGAGTTAGGAGGTGGGGTAAACACTTCAGAGCCCACAAGTGAGCTCTCTCGTCTGTCAGGACCTCAGTTTCCCCACTGGTGAAATGGGATCACTACCACTGCGAGTGTTTTCGTGTCCTCTGGGGACCAGCCTGTGGGCGGCAGCAGGGACGGAGCTCCATGGGGCTCTGGCCTAGTTTGCCCAGGAACACAGAACATTTTCATTTGGGTTCCCCGGAGTCAACAAAGAAAAATGGTTTGCGGTTTGTTGGTTTAGAGCATCCAAGAATGGCCTGGGCAGACGGGACAGAGCCAGGGGTGTGGGGGACACAGATTCCTTCGAGGTGCCACATCAGAGGGCGACCCGCATGCAGTCCTCCGGGGCACAGAGTTCTACTGAACTGTGCTGAGCTAAGAGAAAAACAGAAATTAAACTACTTAAAAACCAGGAAGCCCACAAGAGCACACCAAATGCCGGAATCATCGAGAACAGTCAAAAACAAGACTTCAGCGCAGACCACACTCTGAACCAAGTTCTCCAAATCCTCCTCCATAAAACAGAGAGTGCGTGGGATGGTGGGTACTTGGATTTCCTCAGCCAGTCTGGCTTTATCTTCTCGCTTTTAGAAGATTCAACTGTAATTTTTGTTTAAGACCATCCACTTTCTGGAGAGGGAAGTACACAGCTCCATCCTGCCTGGTGATGCTCGGGCACGGGGTTGGAGTCTATTTTTGTGTTCTCAGTTCCCTATCTTTTTCTTTTTCTGCCTTTTTTTTTTTTTTTAAATCCCCCAGAGTTTCTACAGATATAAGTGATTCAGATTCAAGCCATTCTGGAATCCAGGGATGAAAGCCATCTCTTTTATAAATCATCTCCTTCCTCCTCCTCCTCCTCCTCCGACCACTTTATTCTCCAAATGCAAAAAGACAATGGAGAATTCGGTCATACTTGGCTCAACTGAGAACGAAGGATCCCTCCTTCCCCTGGCTGCCTGGGGACACCCACCAGAGACACTACCATCGCTGGCTGAGCGAATCTGTATGATAATCTGAGACATCTGGGGAGAGATTACACATCTCCATGCAGCACGCTGGCGTCTCATTCTTCACATGTGTTTCTATGGCTGCATTTCTGGCCGGGATGAGAGGTTCTGTCTTCCGCTAGCTCTTTCTGGGCAGCTTCAAACCCGGGCTACCTGCCACTACTGGCCCACCCCAACCCTCCCTGGGCCCCACTGCAGGGACCAGCCACCCCGCAGGCAGGACTCCGAGGGAAAGACTGCAATGTTTACACAAAGGCCGGTTTGTACTCCGCTTGTGGCTTCATTTTCCTCTCCTGAGTGTGTAGCACAGCTCTTGGCTACTTCCCACCCAAGAGTCGTCTTACACACGCGTGTGTTCAGCACTGCAGGAGCGGCACAGACCTGCTATGTAGAGCTGTCCCAGTCTGTGTCCCAAGCTGGGCTAGAGGGTTTCTGAACAGGAGGAAGCTCTTGCTTCCTCTCAGACCTCAGCAGGAGATAGGAAGGAGGGTCCATGGGTTATTTTCCACGTGTCTGTCTGTTGCAGCAGGCAGGGAGGCCCTGTAGACACACAATGAGCGCCAGTCTCCTCTCATGGGCTGGCTGCCTGCTCTCAGCTCCTTGCCAGGCCTTCTAGGTACTGCCAGCCTCCAGGATGGCCAGCGGTGGCAAGATCTATCCTTTGGGGTCCTTGAGGCTTTCCAAAGTTGCAGGCTGACCCGCTCGGTGAGCCTCTCCTCCCAGCCTTCAGGACAGCTGCTCCCGCAGGGCCATGGCAGTCAGGAACAGCTCCCATGCGAGCAGCCCAGACCAGTAGCAGCTTCCTTTCCCCAGGCCCAGAACCAGCAATTCCTGTGCACACGGCCTCGTCTCTGCAGAGACTCAGTTATTGTGGTGAGACACAGACCACCAGTGTGGGACCAAGACCCCAGGAAGAGAACCATACCATGGTCTGCCTGGGGGTGGGGTCGGGCAGCCAGCTGCCCCCTTTAAAACACTGGGGGCCAGGGCCCGGCGTCAGAGCAGTGGCCACTGCGGGTCAGGGAGGCAGGCAGTCATGCGCAAAGCACATGCTTCATTTCACTTTTTTGGTGGCCAGTGTCTCATGATGTCTATCAGTACCCCAACTGTCTAGACTGGTGCTTCTTAGACTGCGGGTTGTGACGTCAGCTGAGTGGGTGTGACACGAAGCACGGACAAGCTAAACAGAGCAGAGGAAAAGCATGTGGGAGGGTGCCCGCTGATAGCCAGGGCACACCTACAACACGGAGTCCTGGGTGGAGCACCAAGGGTGCTTCTGAGACGTGACTCTGGAGACGATGGCCCAGATAGTAGCTGGCCAGGGCTGCGCCTTCCAGAGAGGTCTCTTGAGCTAAGACTGGTCTTGTCCTTAACAGTTTGAAATGCTCAAGACAGGGCTCCCTGGTGACAAGCAAGAGTCTCTCTGAGGAAACAGCAAGGTGGGGAGGGGATTTGGGTTGGGCCTGGAGGCGGGGAGCAGACCTGGGGTGACACTCGTCCTCTGAAACTAACCAAGGCACCAGCACCAGGTCAAGTAGAGCTTGGAGGCCCCTTTTCCTGGCCCCTTTGCCTATAGGCAAAAAACCCAGGCACAGACTTGCCCCTCTGGCGGGCCCCAGGGCCCAAGTGATTCCAAGGGGATCG